AAAAAAAAAAAAAAAAGAGAAGAGTCATGATGCTACCATTGGATGAGTTAGATCTAGAAGATCTTGAATATCTCGAAAATTTAGAGAGGGAATTAACTCCATGGGAGCAAGAATTTTTGGAGGAGCTACACGAACGTAGAGATTGGGAGGATCGCGAAAGACAAATTATACAAGCCCGAGAAGCAATGGTGGTCGATGCCCATGGAAACATAGGTGATGATGGAGAGCTTAACTTCTTAATCCTTGAGGACAAGGATAGTCTTGAAGAGGAGGGGAATGATACGGAAGTGGTCATCAACCCCGGTGAGTCCGACAATGATGATGGCGACAGTCTCGATATTTGGCTGGAAAACATGTTTGAGGCGCCATCTAGTCCGATTTATCGGCCATTAAGTGTACAAGATTGGACAATAGGTTGTGACCCAAAGCTGAAGTCAAAGGTAAGGAAACGGATGGCCAAAAGACAACGCAAGGCAAGGGCCCGAAGAGCAAGCCAATGTATGTGTGAGCCTTGTGCGAAGAAGAGACGAGCTCAAAGGAAGGAGGCTAGAAGGCGTGGTTTGAGATGGGAAAAGAATGGTTGGTGGATACCGGCAGATGATTGTGTGAGATTAAAGGGTTGGGATCCATGGGCCGAGCCGACGGGAACGAGTGGTAACAAGGATGACGGAGATCGGCCAATAGGCGAGTGGCGCGCATCGGCCCATGATGCGCGCGGTTGGACGGAAAAGGCTACACGCGAGTGGCCAGGTGGGCGTACGAAGGATGCACGGGACGTATTGGCGTATGGTAGTAACGCGCGGGCGACGAGCGGCAAGGACGCGACGCACGCTAGGCACGCGGTTGGCTGGGACGCGTGCGAAGAAGACGGCAATAATGCGGGGCTCACGGGCAGCAGCGGTAGGACGTACGCAGGCGAAGGCCTAAGCCGTGCGGGCTTAGGTGAGGCAGACGACACGATGGATGACGCGGACAGAGGCCTACGCCGGGAAGGACTAGGAGTGCCAGACGAGGATGAGTACGCGCGCGAGAAGGTTGGCGTTGGCGAAATGCGCGCGACAACACGCGAGTGCGGGGCATGCGAACGAAGCCCAATCCACATGGGCATAGGATTGGCGGCTGGGGTATGCGCGGGTGGCAGCAACGCGCTGGGCGCGGCACACGGGCGGACAGCGTGCGCGATAGGCGCTACGTGCGAGACAAGCGCGCGGGTTGCCGCGCGCCATAAGGAATAGGTAAGGGCAAGGCGGCGCGCGCATACGCGTAAAAGGCGCGCGACGCATGGAAGGGGCCGAAGAGTTTTAGCATGTGAGGAGTTTGGGACATTCTAGATTTGCTTGGTGTGCAAGCCAAGCATTAGTATTTTGGTAGGTTTAGGATTTTATTGCTTTCTAGACTTAGGATTTCTATTCTTGCATAGATTAGGAGATCTAGTAGATTTAGGCTTAGGTTTATTTTACAACTATAAATACCCCATGTACCTCATCATATTTTACATGTTGAATTGAGTATTGAATTGGTGAGCCAATTTTGAGGGGGAACTTTATGTTTCTAACGTGTGATAAAGAAGGCCGTTAGAGCGTCTTTACATACAGTGTCGGAGAGAAGGCCCTGAGAGCATCTCGAAGTCACAGTGTCTAGGAGAAGGCCGCAGTGCGTCTGCTAGATACACCTATCGGGGATAAACGAAGGCCTTAGTGCGTCGTTTATTCGCAACCACGTATAGAGCAAAGGATCGATCAGTGGCTTTTCATCAGCGGTGCATGGCGCGCCCGCCGCGGCCCTAGCTCAAGCCTTCATGTGAATATTCATGTTTTCAGCATATTTATGCTTTTATGTTCATGTCATGCTTATTTAAGTCATGTTGTTCA